TATTAATCTTGCGGACTAGATTGGTTGGTTGCTATGTTTGTATTATGGGGTATGTATAAGACTAATGCTACGGCAATTAACAATTTTAAGTCACTATAAACTGATAACACAGATTTTTAACCACAGAAAGAATGTTCCTCGTGGGACAAAATTTGCCTACTTCTTCAGGTGACTTTATTATCCAATCTTTCCTTGGTTTATTCAGAAAGAAATAGGCAATTCAATCTTCCTCTAAGTACGTTTGGCAAAAAGGCTATTCCCCTTAAAATCTCATCATTTGCTTGGAGAGTATAATTGAATCCCAGTTGAGCACAATCTCAAGAGTGAGGTAGGATTGCAACTTGCTTCAAGATGTCTTGTGAAGCAGAAGAGACTTTGGAGCGTCTCTTACTGAATGGTAAAGTTGCTGGCTGTTGAGAAATTTGGCATTCCAGTTATGATTCAGCCCTGGAGATTTGCGCAAACCTCATTTAGACGTGTTTTCTATCATTCCTATACTCATTTTTTCGTATCTTTGGCTTGAACGAAATTTATCGAAGCATCGTGGGAGGAAGATGAGATTAATTAAAAGGGTTGATATGCTGTTGGTTTGATTAAATCAGTCAAGAAACCCTTCCTCATCAAGATTTCTGTTGTTAATTGGTGCAAACCTGAACAAGGGATAGTTAGGTTGAACTGTGATGGATTTCTCAAGGCCAATAAGATGGCTGGTGGTAGAGTTATTAGAACTTCTGGTGATGTTTTTCTTGGTTTTTATGAGTTTTATGGTGAATGCTCTATTCTAGAAGCCGAACTGAAAGCTACCATTACGGGGATTAAGTTATTGTAAAGTTTGAGTGGAATCAGATTCTAAGGCTGCTGTGATGCTTATTCTACAAGAGGACAAAGGTGAGAGTTTAGACAATTGCAGCAGTATTGGAGCTAAAAATTATCGATATTTGGTTCTCCTCGAAGAGTTTAGAGGGGAAGGTAAAGGTGCTTTAAGGCTTAACAAGTTAAGACTGCCCGACATGCGATTTATAGATTAGAGAGATGAATATTTGTTCAGCCAACAAGCTTCATGTCCCTTCCCCACGAGTGTTAAGTGGTGCCAGCAGGATTGGAAGTAGAGTAATTTTTCTCGACCTTCTCTATCCTGGCTCAGGACGACGATGGGGGCATGCTTAACACATGCAAGACGGATGGGAAGTGGTCCAATATCAGAATCACACATAGAGGAAGAATGGATTTATATGGCATTGAATTGATAGGTTGCCGCTAGAACTTGAAGGTGAACTATGAAAGAAGGTATGTAACCAGCAGCTGGAATGCAAAGTTGCAAAAATGAAATAAATGAATATATTCCCAAATTTGATGACAATTTGCATGATCGGCATCAAGATTGCAGTGAACGGATATTATATATATATACTAACTATACAATTTTGATACGTTGAAAAGCTCATGAATAAACTATTGAAATATTTTCTTTTAGGTAAACAAGTTGAAATGTGATGTTCCTATTTGATTGTCTCACCAATAAAATAACATGATCTAGGCTTGCGAAGTGGAATCCAGTCCCAAAATTCGTCTGTCTCCCAATTCTAAAGTAATAATGAGATGGATAAAATTGATGGCATGAATTTTTGTTTCCACTAAATCCACTATAAATAAACATTTGTGACTTTGGTAGTTGAGAATTTGTTTGTCGTTTCAAATCACACTATTGAGTAAAAAGTTGGATAAGAAACATTGGGCTCTAGTTAATACGAGGTTACGAACTTGAGATTTTCCTATTTATTCCGATGATATTTTATCGATTTATCTTATTTTTATTTTAGCATTTTAGTTCATTTTACAGTGAAACCTAGAAAACGATAGCCATAACTGATGATAAAATTGCATTACTATTATAAGTATCCCCATGCCTATCTTCATTTTTACTAACTTTTAATGTACAAAAATACTAAATGAAAGACAACTTACATACACGTAGAATGTAGAAAATAAATTCAGTTAGAGTAAGAGTTATACTCTTTTTTCTTAAAACGAATTTGACCCTCGTTAGCACTTGCAGTTTGTCAAGAAACGTCTTTCAAAATACAACAATTACTCTACGTAATAGTTGTACTTCAAATTATAACATGAATGCTCTCTAGCAAAGAAAATACGTAAATCGGTTAAAATTCCAGTAAATACCTTTTCTAAAGGTTCATACTGTAACTTCTACGGTTTTAGTCTTGAATTTTTGCATGTCGAATCGAAGTGAGGGTAAGCATGCCCGACAACAAGCTAAAATATCTTTACACAACTGGGAAACAGCCTAAATCTATGTTATTTTGGATTATATATTTGGCTTAATATCACAATTTTTAGTAGAGATTCTTCTTCTTCCACTTTTAACCTTTCAATCACTTGGAGAATATAAATGGTCAAATATTGCGGCTTTGTCAATATTAATAGTTTTACTTTTTTAGTATGTATGTATTATTATTGAGAACGAAAGAAGAAAATACGCTTAGGGTCCATCCTCCTCCTGTTTTGCCAAATTAAAACCTAATAGTTGATTATTAAAGAAAGAACATTTTTATCCTGGAAGACAGGAATTCTTCTGAAAGGCAAGGTACAACATGTGTTGATTTACTCGGCATTTTGACAGAGGAGTGAATCTTGGATCCTGGCCAGTTTTGAGCACATCTCGCGGTTTACGTCGTCTGCGTCTTGAAGGGCCAAGGCGTAGACCTCAAGATTAGTCATCGAAAGTGGACACCTGTGTATCAAAAAAAAAAAAAACATTTTTCTTAAAAAAAACTAAAGACAAGACACTGATTTTATTGCATACCAATTTTTATTTTTTCGGGCCTGTTGTTACTCCCTCTATTTTCAACCCTTTTTATAAGTAGTATAATTTTTAATTGATTAATAAGTTCTATTAATTGATTTACAAAATTCATAAATGATTCAAAGTCAGTTGTTTCGTACCGATTTGATTTACCGAACTATATGAATATTATGTTTGAGTTCTCGATTACAAACTTAAAAGTTTGTACATGGTTAGGCACTTAGGCAAAGCTTAAAATTAAACTTTTATTTCATACGTGGTTAAGCCATTGTTTGAGCTTCATTTTGAAAGAAAAAAATGCATTTTTGAATAATAATTTTTGGAGAATGTATAGTTAAAAAAAATATCGATTTACGTATAATATTATTTTATTGGAGATCGTGCGGTTTAAAATAAGGTTTAAAAAAATATAGGGCTCAAGCAACAATATATTATTTTTTTGAATATTTAATTCTTTTTAAAAAAAGAATAGGGTTGAATATATTACTTTTTTGAATATCTATAAATTTTAAAACATAGATTTGAACTCTTAACCTCTTTCGTTGTGTGATTATTAATCTCCAACCTAGTTAAGTTTATAATTATGGATCTTCACGTGTCTGTCTGAAACCTTCAATTTGGAAGATAAAACGCACGGGACCTTCACGTGATTAAAGCTGAAATGCAAAACTTGACATTTCTCTCTACTTCAATTGAAAGTCATATGCAATTTTAACGTCTATAGGAATAGTTTCAATCATGTACTTGCAGGGAACCTAAATTCAAAGGTAATTTAAAATGTTAAAAACCATCGCCACACCATCACCATGTGAAATCGCCATCCCTCATTTACCTAAAAATGTTACTTGATACATTCTAAAATTTAGCTCGTTTGAGCCCCCACACTAAAAACTCATTTTCAATTATACATTATTTCAATAAAATAATGTTGTATGTAAATTCAAAATATTTTTTTACTTTTTAATCATACATTAAAAAAAAAAAATTACTATTATACTTGGAACAAACTTCTTATTTGCATAATAAGTAATTAATGCAGTTTCTTCTGCCGCCTGTTTACTCGTTAGAGCTTGGAAAGGTCAGGAAGAAGCGGGTTTTCCGGGGGTAGTACATTGGTGAAGTGAAAACTGTCAGACCCTCATAACCAGGAATTACAAATAAAATAAATATCGAAAAAAATGGAATTTTTTACTGTTGTTGATGATAAGCTCCTCTAACTGTTTATAAAGTTTTGATTTGAAAGCAAATAGTATTCCATTTACTGTGGTGTTGCACCACCCTAACCAAGTATATCGCCTCCTCAATTTACATTTCCGTACGTAATATACCTTTTTTTAAGGGATTCTCGGCTTACTTTAAACAGTGTTGAATGATCTGTATACTACAAAGAATACTATTCCATTTCCAATCACTCACTGTGGTGTTCCACCACCACGACCAGGTGCCACCCTCTCTCGCCGCCGTACGTAATATGCCGTGTTTTAAGTCTTTTTTTAAGGAGTGTGATGAATTTACTCTTTACTGTGATACATTTTTTAAGGGATTCTCGGCTTACTTTAAACAGTGTTGAATTTTCTGTGTACTATAAAGAATAGTATTCCATTTCCAATCACTCACTGTGGTGTTCCACCGCCACGACCAGGTGCCACCCTATCTCGCCGCCGTACGTAATATGCCGTGTTTTCAGTCTTTTTTTAAGGAGGGTGATGAATTTTCCGTTTACTGTGATTATTTTTTTTTTCTTTTATTTACTTTAATTTGGCTTCTTGTAATTATATACAGTTGGCATTTGCTTTTCTGATATGTATTTACTGTTTGCAGTGTTGTAAATTTTGGAAAACTCACACACTGTTGTAAATTTTGTACGTTTATACAGAAACCCTTGTCTCAAGACTCAAAATAATCCAAAATTGCTGCAAGGTGCTAAAAAGAAAAAGGTTGAAAAACCCAACAATTATAGTACACTTGAGCACTGAGCCATGAACTCACCTAGAACAAGAAGAAGAACATGAGTAATACCTGTAAAAAAGGCCCAAATTTAGCAACAAAAGAGTGAAAATTCAGCAAAAAAAGAAAAATGTCCCAATAGGTACAAGATTTCCAAATTTCCCGTCTTTGACCCAGAGAAAGAAAGGACGAGGTGACTATTGTTAAAACTGAGCGGCCTATTTTTGTCATGATGAGAAGAGAAGAATCTGAAGGAGGAAGCAGTAGGTGCCAAGACTGTGGAAATCAAGCTAAGAAAGATTGTGAACATATGAGGTGTAGAACTTGTTGCAGAAGCCGAGGTTTTCAGTGCCAAACTCACGTTAGAAGCACTTGGGTTCCTGTATCAAGAAGGAGGCCAAGGCATCAGCAGATGCAAATTTCCGCTATTGTTCAACAGCAGCAACTCCTTGAACAAAACCCTAAAAGATACAGAGAGAATCCAGCATTAGGTACTGTATATTTCACACTGTACACAGATTTACAGATCCACAAACACAACACATGTAAGTTTGAACAATTGAACTACATAGTCAAAGTGTATAGTTGACGAACCCTAGAGCCTGCAGTTTTCTACAGTGTGCTATACAGCCATTATCAGTATTCTAGATGTACTTAAAACAACCCAAAAATCTTAATTTCTTTATACTTTTGCCAATTTGTTACTAGCTTAACTTAGATAATCCAAAGTTTATTTTTTTATATGGGTTTTTCTTGGTTTGATAATTTTATGTGTTTTTATGTAAATTAGAGGTCGAAGAACGGAATTTTCCGGCCGAAGTGAGTTCTCCGGCGGTGTTTAGATGTGTTAGATTGAGCTCGACCGACAATGCGGATGATCAATATGCATACCAAACATCAGTGAACATTGGAGGACATGTATTCACCGGCATTCTTTATGACCAAGGCCCTGATGGAACTTATTTTGCCGGAGAAAGCTCTTCCGGCGGCTTGCAGCACCATAATTATATCGCCGGTGGAACTGGTATGGCTTCCCCGCCTTCTTTTCCTAGCCCATTTAGTGCTTTTACAACTGGTACTTCTCATCAGTTATTCCAATACCCAAAATCTTGAATAAATTCTCCCTCTAAGACTTTCTCTCTATTTCTCTCCATTTTTATGCACATTAAAGTGATCTTCTTTGTTTAGGAACTCAATAACCAGACAAATATTTGACTAGGGAAAAGAGGGACAAGTTATGAGGAGAGGATAATGATCATTTGTTCCTGTTCTTTTATAATTTCAATGAAGAATAATTTGCTCTTGTCTGCTATTTGTCTTCTTGTCAAATTCTCTATAATTTTTCATTGCTAATTAACGAATATAATTAAATTTTTGGATTGTTTATGAACTTCGAAGCTACTTTTTCCCCAGATTACCCGTTTCTTTGCCCGGTCGGCTTAAAAATTTCTTGCAAGCTTTCCCGGTATCTTCGTGCTCACATGATGACTGTGTGCGTGTCTATCTATATATATATATATATATATATATATATATAATGTTTGTGCATGTATGTGTGTAGTCTTACACTTTACTAGATCAGCACAATATAAACTTCTAAATTCGTTACGTTATTTCTAGCTTTCTTTTCTACTGATAATTTGATTAAGAACATTGATAAGTTAATTAGAATGATATGTTATGCTTTTCTGAATGAAATAAGCATTCCTCTTATTGCCTTGTTTCACATACTAGATTCGATAGTATTCGATCGAATTAAGCTTATGTCTAGTACTTGATCTTCAATATCACGTATCTAATATCTAAGTTTATTTGCCTAAAACCTTGCTTAATGCACACATATTTTATAAATAATGTTACTTGTACGTAATAGAGTTACATAATGATTTTCATACACATGAGGTGCCAAAAAGAAAGGGGAATTTTTTTTCTTTTATTTGGTTGAAGAAATTCCGACTCAATCATTTCTCTCCACATCATGTATATATAAATCATTATGTACATGTAGCACAATCGTATTTTTAATATTTACATTACTTGGATACTAAACACAGTGACCCTATTCCTAAAAAAAGGTTGAAGCTAACACTTGATATTTAATTATACTTAGGCAAAAAGATCAATTATATGGGCATCTTCGAGGAAACCCCATGATTCTCTAACCTTTTATGCTAAAGAGACATTCACACTAACCAAAGGAAAAGGTTGATACCCCCCCCACCCCACATATAATAAAAACACTAGCTAAGAATATATCCTTAGAACTGTGAAAGAATTAAAAAAAAAGAAAAGAAAATTCCCAGATGCAACTGGAATCAAAAACCTCAAGAAATTCTTGATGACTTTCTGGTTTTGTCGAGTTAAAAGAACTCCTTTTATGGAAGGAGTAACAATTTAACTTTTGAGGGAATGGATCCATCCATCCATTTTTGTTTTGGCAAAAGTAGCTAGACATGGGGGGCAATGGCAATGGATCCATCCATTTTTGTTTTGTCCAAAGGTAACTTGACATGGGAGCAATGGCACATAGCTTTATGACTAAACAGATTATAATCTATATTTACAAAACCTAAGGGGCCAGGCGTGAAGGGCTCTCTGCAAAAGAATTATTCTTGTAGTAATAAGCATGCATTTCAAGTTTTTATTTTATTGCTGATCTTTGGAGTCACTGAAGAGATCATTATAGAATGCTTTTTAAAGGTTTCAATCTATCTTTACACAAAGAAAATGGGTACCCCTTGTACGGATTTTATGCATATCTTCTCTCATAATAATCCTTAAGGGCTTGTTTGGTTAAGCTTTAAAGTAACTAAAAGTTACTTCTAACATGTGTATGTTATCTTTTTCTTATTTGTTTCTAATTTTGACCATAGAAAAGTATTTTAACTTGGCCAAACGCGTTTTAGGTATTTTAAGATAGTAAAGTCTTTATTCTGTTTAGGGTTTTCTAGTTTTCCTTTTTACTTTGTAGTCTTTTCAGATTAATTGATGCATTGCACCTTTCTCCTTCTCTCTGAAGCTATAATGATGGCAGAAACCTAACTTGTGTTCAAGTTGGCCTTCACATATTTATAAAAATCTTGCACGTGTTAGGACTTTGACTAAGAAAATGAGTTTGTATGATTTAATTAAATTTAGTACTCTAAAGTGGCATATTTATAAAGATAAAGATGTATTAAGCAGAAGCCATCTTCAGCAAAATCTGATCATTTTTAGCTTGGGAAACTGTATGCTTGTTGAATTTGAATCCATATAGTTTGTCTCGATTTGATAAGTTTATATTCTAGAATTCGTTCGGATTTTTTCTAAATTCTCGTCAAATATTTGATAAGCTATATAGTTTGTGTTGATTTGATTAGTTTATATTGTAGAATCCGTCGTTAATTTCATCATCTGGTCTTTTTCCTGTAGTGTTTCTTAATTCTCTTCGAAGGTTTGCTAATAGTCTAGCTATTGACAACCTTTTTACTAAGTTGTCTTCAATCTTTAAAATAGTTTTTATTCTAATTTTTTCCTGTTGGTTATTTGGCGGAAAAGGATTGGGTCAAGTAACATGATTCTCACTCTTCTGCAATGTAATTCTCATGTTTCTCTTCTGAGAAGTAAATTAGGGTCCGTTTGATTGTAATAGTGAAATTTGGATGGAAAGAAAATGAATTTTAGGGAATTAAATTGTTTAGAATTGTTTTCCTGGGAATTGTCAATTAGTTGTGTTTGATTAGTATAATTTTCAATGTGGAAAATATTGAAATTTTAGAGTTTTTGGTGTTCGTTTGACTTTATTTTATATGAAAATTGTCCATTAAAGGGAATTTTTTTTTTTTTTTTACAATTATCCATAAAATTGATTTTCATTGTCAAAAAAAAAAAAGCCTGGCAAACCTATTCTCACCAAGGTGGTGAGAATTGGTTTTCCTTGAAAACCAAGAATTTGGTGGAAAATGAGGTAAATCTGGNAAAAAAAAAAAAAACAACTGGAAAACCCAAAACCACCAAATAGGTGGAAAAACAAATTCAAGGAAAAGTTGGAAAATCAATTGCCTAGAAAATTTTGGCTATCAAACAGCCAAAATGGTGGAAAATAAAAATTATTTTCCAACTTCGATGGAAAATTGTACACATCAAACATTTTCCATATGAAATATCCTTCAAAATATGAAGAGATTTTTTTTTTTTTTTAATATGTAACATTAGAATACTGTGACTAGGGATGTTTATTTTGATTAACAGTCCTTTGGGCAGCATGGTGTAATGTAGTTTTACATACATTTTCTAAGGTTTTTAGTGATTTAAGGTTAATTTTTGACAATCGAGCCGACTGAAGAAAATAGAGGTTTGTAAAAACTCTTGGGGAAAGTTACATAGTTAGTCCTGAATTTACTGTTCAATAGTAAGTAGATCTGCAATTTTATTTGAAAGGACTTAGTCCCTTGACATTTCGTTATAGTTACGTATTCAATTTTCTGGAGTAATCTTCAATTTGATACGATCAGATGACTCCATTTCGTTTTATTGACAAATTTCATCACTCGTATTTAATTTGTTACAGCCAAGTCGTTGAACATAGATTTGATTCAATTTATGTTCTATCCACCATCCCATCAACCTAACAAACTAACGTAATTTCGCTGATTTGGACGTTATAACTAGCCAATGATGATATGTTTATTAATATTACCAAATAGTTCACACCACTCTTCGTAAAAAATATAATTTGCACATTAAGAACCGATTGGTTTAACCATCAAGGCCAACGTATATTTAGCAAAACTAACGCCATTGAACAGAAGGAAATAGAAGTTGTGAAAGATAAGGTGATGTTCTCTTCGTGTTTCAGTTTTGAGTTTTGAATTCATTTTGTGTTTTGAGTGTTCATTTTCAAATTGTTAAAAATGTATTTTTTTTGTCATTTTGAAAAATTATTTTCAAAAATGAACACATCCAAAACTTATTCTCTATCTCTCTCTCTCTCTCTCTATTTTTGGGCGTGCGGTGTTTTTGGGCGGTGGCGTGGTAGGCTTCTTCTACTGTGCAGGCGACAATGGCGATGGTTGTTGGTGGCTTAATCGAAAATATCAAAAACGCATTTTGAAAATTTTGACTTTATTATAATGACTTAGTCCCTTGACATTTCGTTACAGTTACATATTCAATTTTCTGGAGTAATCTTCAATCACTCCATTTCGTTTTATTGACAAATTTCATCACTCGTATTTAATTTGTTACAACCAAGTCGTTGAACATAGATTTGCTTTAATTTTCTGGAGTAATCTTCAATCACTCCATTTCGTTTTATTGACAAATTTCATCACTCGTATTTAATTTGTTACAACCAAGTCGTTGAACATAGATTTGCTTTAATTTATGTTCTATCCACTATCCCATCAACCTAAAAAACTAACTTAATTTCGCTGATTTGGACGTTATAACTAACCAATGATGATATGTTTATTAATATTACACAATAGTTCACACCACTCTTCGTAAAAAAATATAATTTGTACATTAAGAATCAATTGGTTTAACCATCAAGGCCAACGTATATTTAGCAAAACTAACGTCATTGAACAGAAGGAAATAGAAGTTGTGAAAGATAAGGTGATGTTATCTTCGTGTTTCAGTTTTGAGTTTTGAATTCATTTTGTGTTTTGAGTGTTCATTTTCAGATTGTTAAAAATGTGTTCTTTTTGTCATTTTGAAAAATTATTTTCAAAAATGAACACACCCAAAACTTATTCTCTCTCTCTCTCTCTCTCTCTCTCTCTCTATTTTTGGGCGTGTGGTGTTTTTGGCCAGTGGCGTGGTAAGCTTCTTCTGCTGTGCAGGCGACAATGGCGATGGTTGTTGGTGGCTTAACCGAAAATATCAAAAACGCGTTTTGAAAATTTTGATTTTGTTATAACTGAAAACACCTATCGTTTTGGGTTTTTTTTTTGTAAATTTTTAACTTGTTTTCAAAAATACGTTTTCAAAAATAGAAAACAGAGCGCGTTTTCACTGTTTTGAAAAATTGAAAATCAAAAACGGCTTGAAAACAGTAATAAGAGTATGTCCTAAGCGATCCGGATGCAACTCCACTTAAAGTTAAGTAATCGTAGTGCTTTTAAACCATA